GGTATCGATGTTGTGTGAGAACATTCCTCCATCCAGATGATACTGTCCGGTGACGGTCCCATAGCCCCAACAATTCAGAGCCAGGAGCAAACCCCATGGGCTCACCCCTTCCCAGGGAGTAAACCTGCCTTGTCCCACTACACCTGCACAATTTAACCCACCACCTGCTTTTCCCAGCTGATGCTGATTCCCTCCGCTTCTGAGAGCCTTGGCTCCCTCCCTCTCCTCCTCCTGTCTCGGGGGAAAGTGGTTCCCAAGGTGCTCAGTGCAGCGAGGCCAGAAAACCAGGGCACTTCTCCATCTCACCTAATTGTTGGTATTGTCCCTATCCCTCGGTGCCTAATTAAGTAGAGCAGGAGGAAAGCCCAGGAGAAGCTGCTGAAGGCACAGGAACACGTGTGCACATTATGGAGAGGCTGGTGAGGGGCCTCATGCAGACGGGCTGCTTCAAAAACAAGTGATGCCAGGGAAGAAGCAGGAGCAGAGACCAGACCTAGTGTCCAGACCTGAATACACACATATGACACGATGTGTGCTTCACACACACTTGCTCCTAAGTGATCTGCAAGACAGCTCTTCAGTTAATAAGAGCAGATGAGAGAGCTCATCCCAGAGGTGATGCGGTAAAGGAAGGGCATGTCCAGGGCTGGTGGTCAGGCTGGGCTCCCAGCTCCTGCCTGGACCATCACCTTGCTCACCTCCCACCCCAAACTTCAAGCCAATCCTTTTCTATTTAATTTTCATCACAGCTGGCTTAAACCCAGTCCCAGGAGTGCATAGGACGTGAAAGACCATCTCCAAACTGGTCTCCAGGCTGCCTCAGCCTTGTAATCCCTCAGAACTGTGAGTAGAGTTGAGCACTGGCCCAGAGTCCGGCTGAAAAGCCCTGAGCAGACCGGACTCCTTCCCCCATTGCTTTGAGAGGATTTCAAAAGACCCATTTCAGCTTTGAATGCTTGACTCAAATTTGCTGCAAGCCAGGGCTGCCCAGCTACGGTGTGTTGAAGGGGGGGGATCCCTCTCCATCAGTGCAGGCAGAGGAAGAGCTGAGCTGGTATTACAGAGGAGTACGTCCCAAACACGCCGCCGGCCCCAGCTCCTCGCTGGGTCACCGCGCTGCCATGGCCAACCCTGCTCCGGTTTAGTTCCCACCGTCAGCTGGATGCAGATCAGCAGCCAGACCACCGAATTCACCCACGGTGTCCCCACGGAGGTGCTGCACGTCCGTGCGTGTTGCTGGGTGCAGGCAGAGCCTCCCCCGACGCGTGCCCAAGCCGCAGGAGAGCAGCGGGGGCAGGAGCCCGAGCGCGGGCAGCACACGGTGCTGGGACGCTGGAGTCCTGGCCGGGCTCACGCCTGCCTGCGGGCTGGCAAGCGTAGGACTGGCCACCTCGTGCTTTTCTGCAGCCTTTGGCTCTCTTCCTGCCTCCTGCCAGTGACATCACGTGAATTTTTCCTGATGACAAACAGTCCCTCGATGTCACCCACGGTCGCGACGCTGTTGCACTTCTTGCAGAAAGGAGCACTAAGGTCCTGGGTGGGGTCAGGCCTTTCTGGCTCTGCATCTCCCTCCCGCAGCCAGCCTGGACCCACAGGGCTGCTCCGATGGGCGGCCAGGACCCCGTTTAATAAAAAATGGGGCTTCGCACGAAAGCTGGAACAAACGCTAGCGGGAGCGTTTGCTTTGCCAGGATGCTCTAGCCAGCTCCAGCCAAACTTTCCCTGCTCAGTATTTGTGTTTGTTTTCTCCCCGTTGCCTGGGCTATCGTGGGAGATTTATTCAGAAGAAAAAAGGCAGCTGGGTTCAGTGTCATCCGTCTCCTTCAGGATGCAGCCCATTTTGGGCCATGCATGGATGAGGGTGAACTTAATGTGTGTGGCCTGGGCTGGGCAGTGACTTCCATCAGTCTTGGGAGGGTTTAAGCAGTGAGGTGAGTCCCAGGGATGGATGAGGCATCCTGAAGCACCATGTTGCCCTTCCCTGCTTGCATCCCTACCCAAGCAGAGCCCAGGACCCTTCAAACCCCCAGTACTCACCTTGCCTTTTCCCGCTTGTGCCAGTGCCAGCAGCCTGGAGACCTGCCGTAGCCGCCAAGAAGGTTTTCAGATGCGCTTCTGAGCAGGTCTAGTTTCACACATGGGCACTGCGACAGGGCTGCGTGGTTTTATATACACAGCAATCTTGTTAAAGTGTGGGTTTTAACGAGTCTTGAGGGCGACGCTGTGTCATCATTAGCACTGTCTGTCAGGGAGCCCCAAGCACTGCTAACCCAGACAGTTCAGCTCCAGGGTTAATGCTTGTCCCTGAGAAGCCAGCCTGATCAAAATCCCTCTATGGTTTTACTTACCTGCAAAGTAACAGCAGAAATCCAGAGCCAGGTCAGGTTCCCTACAGGAAAAGAAAAAAAATAAATCAAAGAAACAGAGCCTGGGTACAGCCTGTGTAAGATGTGGCCTTATTTTTTTTTTCTGTATACCTGCTGATCTTCAATGTGGACTTGCAACGGGTGGGTCTGCCCCTCTGTCAGCAGCCACAGAAGCATCTTCCCCTTAGTGTGGGTCTCTCACAGCACGGGGTGAGCCCTGCTTTGGGAACCAGTACAGGGGCTGGAGGGAAGAGCAGTGGGGAGGGCTCCTAGATCACTGGTTTGAATTAAAATCTGCTTTTTTCCCGTAGGCAAGCAGTCTTGACACAGGTTGGCTAGTGCCAGCCTGGCTTCTGTGCCTCAGTTTCCCCCCCAGTGGATACCAGCGGCTCAGACAGAGCTACCCACAAGTCCAACAGAAGATGCATGGAGAGGAGAAGAGGCCACATCATCTGACTCCATTTCCATTGGCATTGCCAGGGGGAATTCTTCATGAGGACATGAGATGGTGGCTACCATAGCACAGTATTGAGAGAGAAGCCACTGAGTTAATTTGGCTGCCCAGTTAACAACAAGGGGAGTCGTTACTGAACAGCTCGTGGCTCTCTGTCCTGGTGCATTGCTGCCCAGAGCCCGGGGAGGTGAGCAGTGCTCAGCAGCTGAGCAAAGAGGGTGGGTCGGGGGCCCTGGTGACACATTCGCCCCCTGCCCCGTGAGCAAAGCCCGGTGCGAGCGCTGCCACTGCGGAAATTCAAAGCAAAAGAAAGGCTCGGGATTGGCGTCCCCAGCAACACCAGCCCTCCTGCCTGCACACCGGGACCCCTCGCTTCCCCGGGGAGCCCTCCCCTTCCTGCGGCCAGTCTCGGAGCACCCATCCTGCCCGAGCAGGGCCTCGGAGTCGCTCTGCCCTACGTGCACCCACACATGTACACACACGCACGCACACACGTGCACACACTTCCCGGGCACACGTGGACACTGCTGGGTGCTCCCCCCCAAAGCTTTGCTCCCGCCAGAAGCTGTCCCACGCTGAGGGGTCATGCTTCAAATGCAAACCCCAGAAATTATTAAAAGCAAAGGAACACTTCATATTCAAGCCTGGGTCACTTTTTAAGGCACCCAAAGTGAAGCACAGTGGGACTAGAAAGTTTTCCCACCAGGGTGGGTTTTTTGCAAGATTTTGGACACTGGAAAAGACCCATTTGTTGTTTTTAACCCCTGCTCCTCCTCTCTGCATGGTCACAGTTTGAGGCCCAGAGGACAGGAGGGGTGAAAACAGCCCCAACCCTGCTGCTGGGATGAACACCTCAAAACTCTTTGGTGCATCCCGGGGTTAAAGCAGGGAACACAGCATGGGAGGTCTGAGAGGAGTGTGGCTCTGCTCCAAGGTGCTTCAGGCTGGGGACAGGGGATGTCCTGGGCTCTCTCTGTGTAAAATTTTCCCTGTGCCTCAGTTTCCCTCCCTGTAGCTGGGTCAATCATGTGGCCAGAGCCAGTGAAGCCAAAATAACCCTTGGCCAAACACATGGTTACTGAAAAAGTGTGACACACCAGTACAAGCATCCCTGGCTGTACCAGCTGCAGCCCAGGACTGTGCTCTGCCTCCCTGCAGCAGGCAGGGCTGCCCTGCCACCCTCGACGCTAAATGTGCTCCATCCAGGCCACCGAGCCCCAAAACATCCCCTCCCTGCCCAGCACCCTTCGTAGCAGCTCTGGCGGAGTCGGAAACACTTTTCCACGGGTGGGACGGGGTGAAGAGGGTTGCTCTGCTCACCCATCACCCCGTGGGGTGCACCCAGCAGCGGCTCAGCCCCGCCGTGCCGGTGCTGGTGCCGGCAAGGGCAGGTTCCCCGCCGGGCCCGGGGTCGGGGAGCTCGCAGGGGTTCTGCCCGCCCGCTGCCCCGAGGAGCTGGCAAGAGGGGGACAGGGATGGGGACAGGGATGGGGGCCAGCATCCTGGGCAAAAGGTCTGGATTATTCGGTACAAGCATACCCCCTGCCGACGAGCTGGAAAAACACAGCTCCTCGAACACCCCCCCCTCCCCCACCCCCCCCCTCCAAAAAAAAAAACAAAAAAAAAAAAAAAAACCCAACCAAAACCAAAACCAACAAAAAAACAGCCTAAAACCAGGGAATAAAACCGGGGAGGGGCCGAGGCGAAGGGCAGCAGCTGGAGAGGGGCCGGGCACCGGCAAGGGGCTGGAGCCGGGCGTCACCGGCAACACGCGTGAACACCCGCCCACCCTCGTCTCGCCAGGCCCGGCATTAGCAACTTGTTTCCACGGGAGGTTTGCGGTTTCCAGCCTTGCCCGCCCGGCCCCTCCGCGCAACACGCGAGACCCCTGCGAGCCCCCCCCCCCCCCCCCCCCACGGCCCCGCAGGCTGGGGGGTGCCCGGCGGTGCCGTGCGTGGGGCATCCCCCGGGTTGGTTTTTCCGGTTCTTGGCGTTGGTTTGCACTTTCCCCTCCGGTGTTTGCCTTTTTTTTTTTAGCTCCTTTTTTTTTTTTTTTTTTTTAAATATATTTTTTTTAATTCTTCTTCCTCCCCCACTCCCCCAACCCCCCCCACCCGCGGCGTGGGGGGGCCCCGCCGGCAGCGCTGCCCCGGCCCAACCAATCAGGGCCCTGTGGGGTTGGGGGAATCGGGCCGTGGGCTTTAAAAGCGGAGCCCTTTGTGCTCCGGAGCCCGGCGGGGCCCCCGCACCAGCAGCCGGCGGGGCCGGGATGCGGGGCCGCCCGCAGCCGCTCCCCCCCCCGAGGAGCCCTGGACCACGCTGCACCGGCGGCCTCAGGACCCCAGCTTCCCCCTCTCGGCAGGTATTTCCTCCCCCTCCCCTGCACCCAAATAAACGTGTGGCAGCCCGGCGTGCCCTGCTCGCCGTTTTGCCGGGTCAGGGGTGGTTGGGGTTTTTTTTATTTGCTTTTTTTATTTTTTTTTTTTTTCTCTCTTTAACTGTCTTGTTTCCTTCCTCATTTGCACCTGCTGGTTTGTTACGGTAGGGTCTGCTGGGTGGGGCTGGGTGTGTTGTGCTGGTGGCATAGGGTGATGGGGACTGCTAGTAGAGTTGAGGGGTGCTGCCTGCTGGGGGAGGTGTCAGGGGCTCGTTGGGGACATCATGGTATCACTGGCAGCTTGTGGGGATGGGGTGAGTGTAGAGCTACTCCCTGGGGCCTGTTATTGTAGGGTTGTTGAGGGGGTGGGATCAGCACTGCCTATTGCTGCTGGCCCAGGCTGGGTGCTGTATGTTCACCTTCAGGCTCTCCCCCCAGTGCCCATGCTCAGACACCACCCCCCCCCCCGCCTCTTCAAAATTTGGCCCTGAACAGACCTGCAGCCCAACTCAACCTCTTCCCAGGTACCAGCTTGGGGTGGAGGGGAGGGCTCTAACCTGTCCTGGAATGTACCTGAAGCTGCCTTGTCACCAGGTAGTGCCACAAGCGGTGGCCCTGTGCAATGGCTGCAGCTCTGCTTTGTCCCCAGCCAGCCCCACAGCAGTGGGACCTCCCTGTATTTCCCTGGCCCCCCTCTGAATTTTAGCTAAAGCCCTGCTGCAGTCCCAGAGCTGTGCCACATCCTTGAAAACAGAACAGCTCCCTCCTGGGCTGAGCAGCGACGGCTGGAGCTGGCCAAGAGCACCACGGGCACTGGCTCTGGGCTGTCACTCTTTCCTCCATGTCCCTGAGCCCTGTACTGGGTGAGGAGGGGACACACTGGTGGCCCAGGCTGGAGCTGGGAGACAGGAGAGGGGTCGGGTATGTGGTGATTACCCATCCCACCTGGGTTTGCTCTTTGCTCCTGGTGGGGAAGTGGCAGGCTCGGCTGGGATGCACGAGGGGCCTCAACCTTTGCTCTTTGGGAAGTCACCCAGCAAATCACCGGTGAACTTGGGTGCCAGAGCAGTGCTTCTGTGCCAAAGCCGCCGGCCTTGCATGAGCGGAGGATGGAGGAGACATCGGTCACAGCCACCTCACGGAGTCACCTCTCCTCACCCCTCTTGTTACAGGGATGCGACCACCGTGATTGCCAGCTGGAGTGCGGCTGAGCACCCACGCAGCGCAAAGCACCCTGGCGGGGCTTGCCGTCTGCCCCGCGGCACTCGGGATGGGGACGAGCCCTGGCTGGGGACCAAGGGCAGGCACTCACAAGCCCCCCCACCACGGACGAGCCCTGGCTGGGGACCAAGGGCAGGCACTCACAAGCCCCCCCACCACGTGCAGGCAGCCGTTTGCAAGAGCAAGAGCTGGGGCTGACCGCAGGAGCCTGTGGTGGCTGCAGGGGGGGCCCGGTGGCCCCAGGGAGCAGCTCAGGGGCTGTTACGCAAATCAAGAGGAGCCAGGAAACCGGTTGCAGGGCTGTGGAGGGCACAGGAGTGAGTCTGAATTTCCCTTCTTGCCTCTGAGTCATCGGGGCTGACTTCCATGGCTCCGAGATGCTGTGGCAGCTTAGAGCCTTGGCCGGGCTCCTTCCAGCATGGCATCGCTCTTGCACCTGGGAACCAGCTGGACCTTGTCCTTGTGGCTGGGCAGGGCTGGGCATTGAGGGTCCCTCTGCTCCCAGGCTTGGTCCCCACGTGTGGCGCAGCCCCATGGTCTCCACACTGGCTCTGTGGGTGCTGCAACCACAGCCAGGACCTAGAGCTGTTTTGGGAAGGGGCTAGTAGCAATGTGGGGTGGTGACTGACTGAGGGGCTGATAGTGGGACAGAGTGGAGGCAGTTTTGGGAAAAGACCAATTCTGGCTGTTCTTGGCTCAATCTTTGTTCCTGGGATCCTTCTACACATGGGTCTGTAACAGCCTCTGGGGACAGTGGGATTGCTGCAGGACCCTCATGGAGGGGATGTTCCTGTGGCACCTCTACTGTGGGATGTGGATGGGCAGATAATTGCTTTGGGAATGGAGAAGCTGAAAAAGGGGCACTGGTGGCTGCTAGCATGAAATGTCCAAAGATTTATTCCTGGTACAGTCTCCAGAAAGTCACCCTGGTTCCCTCCCTGTGGCACATCCCTGGGAGCACTGTAGGTTAAGAATGGGTTTGGGGAGGCTGTACCCAAGAGGGCAGGGACTGGTTTCCCTCTGCTCTGTCCCAGGATGGTCTTCTTGCAGTGTCCTTCATCACAGCCCTGCTGGCAACAGCAAGGGATGATGTCCTTGCCTGCTCAGGCTTTCCAGAGAAACCCCACAGGTACGTCCCCAGGTACCATCACCGCAGCACTGCCACCCTGCCCTGCTGTTTGCACTCTGGTGGTCCACGCGATGGGCACAGGCGCAGTGGCTGTTCCCTGGGAATCAGGTACTGGGGACCCTGTGAGTTCACAGGCACGTGGTGGCCGGGCTGGAGGCAGCTGCCTGCTGTCGGATACGAAAGGCCTCGCTTTGCCCGCCACAAAGGAGGAGGAGTGTGTGTGTGCACGTGAACAAGAGCGGCCAACACCCGTGGCAGAGCACACCCAGGCTTCTGCCACTTCCTTGCCCCACAGGAGGGACACGGTGGCCTGGCTCTGTGTGATGGCCACCACTAAGCATGCCACCCCAGTGTAGCCAGCTCGGCAGCACCCGTCCTTCCTGCAGACCAAGCCGCAGGTAAGCACGTGGGATGTTATCTGCTTAACACAGAGGAGCAGAGCCCAGATGTCAGAGCAGCTCCTGGTATGTTGGAGGAGGATAAGCTTGCCCAGAGCCTGGCCTGGCCTGGGCAAGAAAATTAGTTCATGGCAGCTGAAGGTCCCCATTGCCACATGCTCTGCCTCAGTGCCTGCTGGAATTGCCCTGGCAGGCAGATTTCCTCTGGCACAAGTAAAACACTGGTGGGTAAACGCCCTTGTGCCAGGGGAGATGGGCATCCCAGCAGGATGGGGTGTGCACAGCCTCTGGGCTGTTCTCTGCAGGAGAAATGCCCCTTAATGATCCTGAAAGCACCTTTGGATGACGGGGGCCAGGCACCATGTGGCCCTGTGCCACTGCCTGCAGACGGGCACTGTTGCTCCAGTGGGATGTGGTGCCCATTTTTGCTGCTCGAAGGTGGGGTGTGCAGGATGAGCCGCTCTCTGGCTCCTACTGCAGCCGTTTGCCCCTGTGCCCTCCTTCCCAGCCGCCTTCCCGTGCAGCAGGGAGGCAGAGCACAGCTGAAAATACACCCACTGGGTTGTCGTTGTCCCCGTTCCCCCCCCCCCCCCCCCCCCCCCTTCCTGCCTATTTGCTTCCTCCCCTCCTGGCCTTGCCTTTCAATGGGGCTTCCTAAGAAAACAAAGGTTGCGCCGTTACGCTTTGCCTATATATACACACAAACACACACACACATGTACGTGTGGCTGGCACCCTTCTAATAAACTTTGACCACATTTCCATCCCAGTGGACAGGGGGACGGCAATCTGCAAACATGCTTAGGTCAATGGGGCTGGCAAAAATGAGCAACTGGGGGAGGGGGAGAGAGCCTTGCCTTTCCTTTAGCACAGAGGCGAGCTGCTCCACAGCTCAATCCCTTATTAGACAGTGGGGAAGCTTTACGTGGGGCACCCAGCACCCTCCACCTGCAAAAAGGGCTTTGATCTGGCTTCAGACCTGAGCTGTGCTGCTGTGGGAGATCCCTGGGGACCGGTGGCACGACTGCCAGCCTGCTTACCTGGGATAAGCCCCCAACAAACTCCTTGCACAACTGGGGAGGAACTGAGGTGCTGGATCTAGGTATAAAAAAAATGCCTTTTTTTTTTTTTTTCTCCTCTGAGTTGCATCTGCTGGTATCTAAAAACACCAGTTTTCTTTTGTGCAGAATAGGAATGTGTTCCTCCTCACCCCCCAGCCACCACCTGAGCCCTTCCTGCCTGCTCCCCACATCTCGGATGTGTTTTCAGTGCTGGCAGGGCAGGAGTGCTGGGGGGCCATGCCCCAGCCCAGCCTGATACAGAAAATCCCCATATCAAACTCTGGCTGGGAGTGGGGCACAGAGTCCAGCTCTGTACCTGCTGCTGATGCCACAGCCTGCACCCCAGAGACACTGCTGGGGAAAACTGAGCTCCACCAACCCAGGAGCAGCAAGCTGCTACTGAATGTGCTCATCCCACAGCTCCCCATTCCATCTTCCCTCTGAAAAAAGCCCTAACTGCCCAAAACCCACTGCAAACTCCACCCATCAGTGTTCAGGTTGAGAGCAAGGGGTTGCGGTCACCAGGGACTTATCTGCTGTAGTTTTCCAGAAACTTCCCCTCTGGACTTGGCATTACCACGGTGTTGCCGTGCCCTCTCAGCAGCGGGGTGCCGGTGGGGATGACGGCTCCAGCCCACGCGGTGCTCGGGTAACCCACGTTGCCCCAGGGGCTGTGCTTCCTTCGCCCCATTCAGGCTAAAAAGTAGTCTAATTATTAAAATACGCTTTGGGAAGAGCTTTAGGTTGATCAGTCAAGGACAAAACGCTTCCAGGCTCTACGGCAACAGTGAGTCTGGAGGCTCAAAGCAACCTCACTTCTCGGTGGAGGTGTGACTCCTCGGCGTGGCTTGGGACAAGTGTCCCTTTCCGTCCCCAGGCTGCAGCCGGGGCTCCGGAGGAGGCACTCAGCTGGGGCCAGGCTCCTCTTCCCACGATGTGGCTTCTTCACAGCTGGACACGGGGAGATGGGGCCCCAGACATGCCACTCCACGCTGCCGCGTTGCCCCACGCCTCCCTCCACGGCACGCAGCAGCCGCCGGGCACGAGGCGGCCGTCCCTCCGCCCTTCCCTGCTGTCACACGGGCTCCAAATGGGGTTTTATTGCATCCTGTTTTGCAACAGCGGCGGGGACGGGCCCATCGCGGGGCTCTGGCAGGTTGTGGCCCCCTCAACCCCAGCAGGATGGGCTGAGCCAGGGTGGGAGGGGAAGCTGCAGCTCTACCAGCTCCCTGCTTTGGCTGTTGACCGTTAACGCTGCTTTTTTTTTTTTTTTTATACTCGGTATCACCAGGACGTGGTTTATTCCTAGGAAGGAAGCCAGGCAAAAGCACGCTCTTAAAATGCTCCGGTGGCCTTTGCAGCGGGAAGCCCTTGGGTTTTGCTAAGCAGCCGCCTGAAATTAGGGTAAAGGAACGCAAGGAAGTGGCCTTTGAGCACCACGAGACTGCCCCAGTGACCCCCATTGCCTCCCTCCCCACTCGCCCCAGCCTGGGGTGTCCCCTGGGCTGAGCAAGGGCGGGCTCGGTGGGCATACCCCCCCCCCCCCCCCCCCCAAGCCTTGCATGGAGGCAGGAGGGGACAGAATGAGTTATCTCCTCTGCCGGGGGGGGGGACACGAAGGCAGGCGCTGCTCTGGCACCCAGCCCAGCAGCAATTACTCCAGCGGCATCGAGCGCAGCGATGATGCCACGCTGCAGGAATGGCAGGGGCGGCTCGCCTCTGCGCCCGGAGCTCGCGGGAGCCGCCAGGCAGGGACGGAGCTCAACCGGCTGTGCCCCACGTCGGGTCCTCCCGGCCCTCTTTTGGAGGGGGGGTCCCGAATCCTCCCAGCTGTGACACCCCCCACATCCCCCCCCCCCCCCCCAGCCTGGTGCTGCCCTGGGTGTTCCTCCTCCCTGCTGCAAATGGGGAACTTCTGCCTAGCAGTAAGTGGGTATGTGGGGCGCACCCCGTGGGGATGTTCCCGTGACGTGGTGGTCCCCTGCATGTTTTGGGACCACCAGCAGGATCTGGGCTCTCATTCTGACCACAAACAGGACATTCCTGGTCTTGCGGTTATAAAGGGAAGCTTGAAAACGGACCTGAGGGTGAAAAGAAAAGGAGCCCCTTGGGCTGGTGCTTTCTCCCAGGGGTTAGAAGACAGCCGTGGTGGTGGGACTTGGCATGGTGCTTTCCAGCGTCTCCTCAACCAGAATTCACTTCTTTCCCCAGCTGTAATAGCAATTTCTCTCTGAAAAACACCCCTGCTGCCCCTGTCACCCTTGGCCCTGCCATGCACCCAGGTGGCAGGACACGGTCCCTGCCCCACTGCAACAGCTGCTCCTTCCTACTGCCCTCCCTCCACCCCTGCTCTGCACTGATGCCCCAGGCTCCCAGTTGCACTGGTGGATATTAGGATTGTAGCTCTTGGCCAGCTTGCCTCCCTTGCAGCTTGGGGTGCTCGATCAGGCTCCGGAGGCTGGGAGTGCTCACACACTACCTCCCTTCACCCACAGGCACCCTCTCCCCATTTCTCTCTCCAGCCTTGGCTGTGGGTCAGGGTTTGCTGCTGTTCTGCCCCAGAGGAGGGACCCCAAGCTCCAGTGCTTTTCTAGCGCTCAGGGTTGACCCCCCCAAATAATAGTTCTCTACTTGCAGACCCCCATTAGCTCTGCTCTCCACGCCTGCTGGCCACCCCACAGGATCTCAGCAGTGGGACAGCCACCCGCCACCCAGCCCACTCCCACGGCAGCACGCAGGGAGCCCTCACCGCCGCCGTGTGACCTTTCTTGCGGCCCGGTGGTTATTAATCCGAGCTCAACAGGCAACTCCTCTTGGTGAACAGGCCAAGGGCCTTGAGGGGTGGAGGGGAATTGAGGGTAGGGAAGAAGGAGCAGCTCCCGGCCGGATCCAAAACTGGGGGAGAGATGCAAGGAGAGCTGAACATCGCGTTGCAGCAGGCAGATGCACAGGAGAGCAGCTGGCAGGGGGAAAGGTGACCCTGGTCCCCAGGGCCATCACTCGGCCATGTGCTGGGGGATGTGGCTCTCCTCTGCTCCCAGCTGCTTCTGCAGGAGGCTGACACGCAGCATCCTTCCAGACGCATCCCGCCAGCACAGGGCACGGGCAGGCCAGCCGGTTCATTGCGATGCTGAACTCCTTCGCAGGGAGGGGATGGAGAAGGGAACTGAATATTTAATGCCAGCAAAGTGCCTTAACGCCGGTGGCTGGAAGGCACCAGAGAGGGGATGGGAGCCGTGATCGGAGTACTGCTCACGGCGTGCAGCTCGCGTGGGGCAGGATGGCACCGGTGCACCTGTCGTGCTCTCTGTCCTGGCTTTTTGGCCCCTCTGCTGATGAAGGCATGGGTTGCTGGCCCTGCTTGGCACCCAGCAAGAGCACCACGGGGTGCGGGGTGGGAGTGGGGGCTCATGCATGCAAAAGCAGAGGCTGTGAGGCTGAGGATGGCACCGGGCTCTGGCCCTAGCCTGTTTGCAGGTGAGCTGTGCCCTGCACTGCTGCTTGGCTTGATTTCTCCTTGGAGGGCTACAGGGGCAGGGGAGCAATACAAGCCCTATGTGGGGGGGAGATGTTTTGGTAGCATCCAGCTTTAAAGATTGGGTGCTGCGGAAAGCCAGGGAGAGCTGAGAAAGGCTTATGTGCAGCAGGAGACAGAAGAGACAGGGGTGTCATCGCCGGAACGAGATAAACCTGAACGGGGAAACGGAATCAAAAGCGGGTGGAAGATGAGCAAAGGAGCCAGGAACCGCGCCTGCAGCAGGGTTTCGGGGGGCAGGATGAGGGCCTTGTGGGCAGGTCCCCGGGCCGTGGCGGGGAGGACTGGGCAGGGGCTGGGAGCAGCATCGCAGCTGCCTCCCGCCATTCCCCGGCCTCGCACGCTCTCCAGTGCTGCCTGCTCCCTCCTCTTCCTCCTCTTCCTCTTCCCGGCAGCGGCTGGGAGCCACCTCCAGCCCGGCCCCCCCGCGGGTACCGGGGAGCAGGACGGGGCAGCGGAGATCCCACACTGCCCTCCTGCCCCACCACCCCACCACCCCCCCCCGCCAGGTCCCGATACTGGTTTCTGTGGGATCAGGAGCGAGGGGGCGCGGGAGGGACCCCACTCTTAGCACCCCACTCTGCCCGCGGACCCTGCTGCCTGTCCCCACGGGGGTGACGGGGCCAGCCTGCCCACGGGTCAGGGCTCTTCTCCCCTCCGTGCACCTTCCTCTCCGGATGGGGGGCACAGCGCCCTCCCCCCCTAAAAACAGCACCCCTCACTGGTTGCCTCCCCCCCCCCCCCCCAAGTGCCCGTGTTGGCTGCCGCCGGGACAGCACCGCGGGGCGGGGGGATTGGGGGCTCAAGGCTGCTGCTTCTGGAGGGGAGGGGGGGTGTCGGAACAACCTTTGCAGCACCCCAAATCGTGCGTGGGGTGTCATTCCCTCAGCTGCCTCCCCTTGGGGGTGCACACACGCTCTGACACGCGCACCTCACACTGAGCCCTTGCTCGCACACCGGGGAGGAAACAGGGGGGCACAGCCCGGACACACTGTGTGTGCCCCCCACACTCACGCATACACACGCACCACCACGCACACCCCCTGAGCCACACACAGACTCCCACGTACACCCCCCCCTCCATGCTCATGTGCACGCTCACACACCCTCTTGCTGCCCCCCCCCTACCCCAGCCTGACACACGCATGTGCACAGAGCCAGGTGAGCATCACAGTGCTGTGCGCGCAGACACACGTGCGCTGTCTCATGCGAGCACCCGTGGTGCCGTGTGTGCCGGCCGTCGTGTGTGCGTGTACCCGTGTGCCGACCGTCACACGTCGGCAGCGTCCCACGCGCGGAATGCGTGCACAGCGTCACACGCGTGCACAGCGTCACGCGGGTAGAATGCGCACGCAGTCGCACGCGCGCAGTGCCGCATGCGCAGCACGCGCGCCCGGTGTCACACGGGTGCCCCCTCACATGCGCAGACTGCCGTGGGGGGCAGACACGTGTGCGCTGCCACCCATGGGTGCCCGGCTGGGTGTGCCAACTGCCGCATGTCACCGCACGCCCCCCCCCCGTGTGCACGCGTGCTCCCGTGTGCGCCGTCACGTGTGCGCAACCTCTCACACGGGTGCCCAGGCCATGTGCACGCACGGCCACGCACACGCACTGTGCACACGCGGCACCTCCCTTGCACACTTGCTGTGACCCTCGGGGACCACCGCGGTCCCAGGGCAGTGCCCCGAGCCGGGCTGCGGTGCAGAGGCAGGATGAGACCCGGGTGGGTGGGGGGACGGAAGGGCTGGGGTGAGGAGGGCCAGCAGCACAGCCCCCCCCCCCCCCCCCCCCCGGGTTGCTTCCACCAGGCTGAGGCTGGAACAAACTCATCACACGTGGGCACAAGCCAGGCCTGAAATAACACGCCTCCTCAAATACAACTCGGACATGGCGAGGGATGGCCGTGGCGCGGGAGGGGCCGGGGGACACGCGTGTCCCCGGGGCACGGGGCGTGTGGAGGCTCTTTGTTCCTCCCGCCGCTGGTCCTCCATGATGTGGAGAGGGCGCGGGCGAGGCCGGAGCTGCGAAATGGCGGCCGGGGGGGGGGGGGGGGGAAGGGGGAAGGGGGGGGGGCGGGGATCGCGGGGAGGAGGAGGAGGAGGCGGGGAAGGCCGGGCGCCCTCCCCGCGCACGCCGCCGCGCACACAAAAGGCTGCAGGGAAAACACGGAGGGCAGTGGGGCGTCG